ATTCCACCACTAGGACATCCAACACAGTATGTTTCTCAGCATTCCACTACAAGAACATCCAACACAGTATGTTTCTCAGCATTCCACTACTAGAACATCCAACACAGTATGTTTCTCAGCATTCCACTAAATTAGAACATTCAACACAGTATGTTTCTCAGCATTCCACCACTAGGACATCCAACACAATATGTTGCTCAGCATTACATCACTAAGACATCCAACACAGTAGGACGCTCAGCATCCCATCATTGAGACATCCACCACATTATGGCGCTAAGCACCCCATCACTGAGACATCCAACACAGTATGACGCTAAGCACCCCATCACTGAGACATCCACCACAGTATGGCGCTAAGGACCACATCACTAAGACATCTACCACAGTATGGCGCTAAGGACCACATCACTGAGACATCCAACACAGTATGACGCTAAGTACCCCATCACTGAGACATCCACCACAGTATGGCGCTAAGGACCACATCACCAAGACATCTACCACAGTATGGCGCTAAGGACCACATCACTGGGACATCCAACATAATATGCTGCTCGGTAAAACATATTTAGCATTTGTGTGTCACACAGCGAACCACAATATGCTATGTGTTACACGTATCATCTCATTAAAACATTCGAAAGAGTATGTTGTTTCCTATCACATCATAAATATACTACTGCTGTTTTGCACGCGGGAAAAGAGTATGACAAGCCATCACTTCGCTGTTTGTAACACTGAGCAGCTTCGTTTCTTCTTTCTATTCTGAAGCATGGCCACCGGTGGTGACAATGATGCACAGACTGGGATTGAGGAAACGCCAGACTGAGGCGGTGTAACATAAAATTACTATTAGGTTCATGAACTTGTTACTAAGTTTAATGCCTTGTTTGTGTTCGTTGATTCTCAATTTGACAGCGAGTTGTTCTGTCAATTTACCTGAAGCATCACTTCTGAACTCCTCTACAAGTGAAAAGTCTATCGTTTCAAATGTATTAACTTTTTAATTTGTGTAACGATTAACAGATGCTGTTCTCGAAAATGAAACCCTTCGGTGGCTCAGCAGCAAATCTGAACGCTTATAACGCTAAAAATCGGGTTTCGATACCCGTGGCAGACACAGTACAGATATCCTGTTGTGCAGCTTTGCGCTTGACAACAAACAATTAAAAAAGGAAACAAAAATATTAAGCTTTATCTGGATTTTGCAATTTGTAAATCAGAATGCAACTAAACGTGTGTAGATGGATTACTAGATCAGTTTCTAGATTTGTTTTACCTTAAAGCTACACAACAGGATATCTGCACTCAGTCCACCGCGGGGAATCGAATACCGTATTTTTGCACTGTAAGTCCGAAAACTTACCGCTTACAAGGAAAACTACCCCCACCTGTAAGAAGACAAAACTGTATTTTATGTTTTAAAATTATAGTTTTATTCTAGATAGCTTGGTAGAATAACCGCATAAAACACGTTTATATTTGCTACATATTTTAGACATTGTAAATTATATATTCTAAGAACCCATAAGTGAAAGCAAAGAAGAATATGTTACAATATGTCAACCACACTACATCTGTTATATGCATTATCGACGAGGCCTTTCCCTCAATACCAGGAAACATGAGACCGACTGGAATATGACAGATATAGTAGTGATTTAGGCTCTAAATATATATATATGAATAACGACTGTTAATGTTATAGTGTGAACCAGATTGAGGAAGTGAATTGTAATTATTATCAATTTTATTTAAGTCATTTACTAATCAGATGTTTACAATACGAATTATTCACACAATACTATTTATTTTGTTTTAATCTTAACATGTTTATCCATTTTGTTTGCGCATAATTTTCTCTTTTTTTTTTAACTTGATTTCCCATCATGATTCTCCCCCCCCCTCTGGTTCAGCGGTAATTTGCAGACGCTAAAAGTCGGGTTTCGATACCCGTGATGGCCAGAGCACAAGTACACCATTGTGTACCTTTGGGCTTAATGACATCCAAAACAAATCCACACGATTCATACTGAACCAATGACGTCTTGGGAAACCAGTTAAAAATCATATGACAAATATAACTTTTTCCTTTCACTAGATTTTTGAAGGGGTAACAACACAATTACATCAATTAATGTAATACGAATATAACACAGGTTTAAATAACGTATCTTTCGCATAACACCAGATAATTCCATCATATCTAGAGTTTTAACTTTATTAGATGCAATGACCGAATTTTTTTGTTTTTGTACTTGCTACTCATAACTGACATCGAAGCGTCTGTTTAGACCACAGTTCAAGAGGGTTTTTTTTAAATTTAGACGCTGTAACTATTTACTTTTTTGTAAGTGATAGTTTGTATTTTATGAAGTAGCTGTTACGGAATGTACCTACAGCAATGAACTTACGATCTGATTACACACGCATGTTTTACTTTTTCAATAATGGATCGTAATTGTTCCTCAATGTAACAGAAAATGTAAAACAAAAAGAAACCAATCTGTACAAAATTCTGATTCTGTAGCTACATCACAGGCAAGGTTCCGAAGGATGAGTTGATGAGTATTATCATCGTCATCACATTTGTACTCAGTCACAAATCAAGAATCAATTACAGTGTAAAGTTGGATTCACTTGACCAACTCCTACTCTCGTCTTGAAAAAAGTTTTAGTTGTCCATCATAGAAAAACGGGGGCACATTGTAGAAAAACAGAGGATATTAAACACTCACGTACAGAACGAAGTCACGTAAAGGCTGGTACTCACCATGCATACAGACACTGGTTTACGCACGCACGCCTTTTGAAACATGGGATTAAATTGAAACTGACGTCAGTCTACTAGGACAAAAAAGTTCGCAGAATTTTTTTTTACAGATAGGTGCGATAAGTTACAAAACTGTGACCTTCACGTCCTCAAGTTCGAAATAAGCCAACCAAAGTGAAAACACAATCAAATATCACAAGTCGTTACCAGATGTGAAATGATGATAATAAGTTTTTAGGAGATTAGAAATCTAACCTTTGTCAAATGTGCAGCTAAGTAAAACAAACTTAAACAATTATTTTTTTTTAATTCTTTAGTCAACATTACATAGCGCGTGAAATTCTTCAGTTACTGTTGTTCCGCAAGACGTGAGAATAAACAATAAAGGTAATGAAGATAAATTAATACGTCTAAAAAACATCTTTATTAGATTTTATTTTGTGCAACGCTTCGTTCAGACATCCTTCGTCAGGCATTAAATAACGTGTTGCATAGAAACTAGGCTAAGAAAGAGTCGTTGGAGGGTTAAAATAAGTTTTTTCCTTAGCTTAGTTTCTATGTGACACAGTATTTATTGCCTGCCGAAGGACGTCTGCCCCAAACGTTGTACAAGACAAAGTTTTTATTTTGACGTGTTAATTTATTCTTTATTACTCTTTATCCGCATTTTCACGTGAAAAACCTACCATAAATAAATAGTAACTATAGCAACAGAATAATGGATATGTCTTATTTCATAACATCAATCTCACTGCCATAATACAAATATCCCTTGTCAAAGATTATATAAAAAAGACACAAAAGCACAATGTCCTTATTTTCTAAGTAAAGCTAAACAGTTTACCAGAGGCTCTGTTTAAATCGTTTCAGGAAGAATAAAACAATTGAACAGGTTCAGATAAATAAAAATTTACAAACAACAATAATTCCTGTTTTAATGTAAATAGGTAAATTATAAGAAACAGAAACCTCAGACAAAAGGTTTTAAATTATGATACCTACGTAATGAAGAACATAAGTATTAAACAGGTTTCTGAAGAAAACATACAAGAAAACACAAATACCAAATTTCAAATGAAAATAGATATGAATGTAAATATGATGAGCAGAAATATTAAATGGCTTGTTGAACTGATGAAGATAGGTAAGCTATGAAGAACAGAAATATTAAGCTGGTTTGAAATGAAACAAGAGAGAGAATCCTCAATAGCCATGGCACTTGATATTCTTTTAGGCAGGATTAGAGTAAATTAATCTATGAGACCTTGGACATGATCAAATAATCAATGGAAAGGGTTTGACCTCCTGAGTCCAAAACTGTAATTATATCTCAAATTGGTCAAGAGATGACAGAGCTATGAGCTAAAACCTTGTACTTGAAAAACTCAGAGCCAGTCTATGAGCTGCTATGCCGTGGCTAACAAGATAAGTCCTGAAGAATAGAAGCATTAAACAGATTTGAAATCAAGAAATATAAGTCACGTAGAATAGAAATATTAAACAGTTTGAACTGAAGATAGGTAAGTCATGAAGAACAGAAAAAATAAAATAGGTTTGAACTGAAGATAGGTAAGTCATGAAGAACAGAAAAATAAAATAGCTTTGAACTGAAAATAGATAAGTCATGAAGAACAGAAATATTAAAGAGGTTTGAACTGAAGATAGGTAAGTCATGAGGAACAGAAATATTAAATAGATTTGAACTGAAGATAGGTAAGTCATGAAGAACAGAAATATTAAACATGTTTGAACTGAAGATAGGTAAGTCATGAAGAACAGAAATATTAAACACGTTTGAAATGAAGATAAATAAGATGTAAATTTAGAAGAGTATTTCCTAATACTTCAGCTTTAATCACAAAACAGATTAAGTTGATATTCAAAAAATTATATTCTAGCAGTTAGATATTTTCTGAAGATAAAAAAAACCACATAAGCAGCCCATAATATAATTTATTGTTTTCTGTAAACAAATCATAAGTTTACTTAGTTTGTTTTGCTTTAACTTACTTGTAGCATTTTATCTACTGTAATAATATTTCAGTAAGGATTTTTACTTTACATTAGAACTTTTCAATCACAAAATTAGTTTGAAACAAAAGCTATTCCTCACTGTGTATTTTTACCAAACTCACCTTTTTTTTTCAGAGTGAGTGTGTTTATTAGAAACTATTATCCATGGAATAAAATCATTTTTTGAGACAGTTAATAATAAAACTGTTACCTATGTAAGCATTCCATTCAGGATCAAGTTCAGCATGGTGAGCCAGGCAACCTTTCATGACATTCAAACAATAGTTGGCACACGGTTTAAGATCTGGAAGACCCTTGCAATGAGGACAGTAGGACATCTTCATCAGTGCACGACTACACTCGGGGCTTGGTCCAACCTATACAACCACAAGGTCTTAGATCAATTTCAAGTATGTACCTTCATAACTAGCTAAAAATATAGTGAATCACAAAATTTAAAATTCCTTTCTAGTAATGAATAGTAGAGCTACAGTAACAATTGTAAACATCTTTAATGAACGTTTCAGAATTACTCATATTCAATCTTCAACAAATCTATGAAAATAATGAATTCAACAATCTTTAGTATAATTACTGATACCGTGACTATTGTTAAGAAACTGTAAAACATTCAATCATAAAAAAAAAAGAATTATTTGAATAAAGCAAGGTGGAATAGTTTGAATTTCTATTCAGGCTTGGATTTTCATTATAATATGTAGACTTTCTTTTATCAACAGTTCACGATCTTTACATCCGTAAGTTAGAATTGAAAAGTTTTCTAATGAAATGGAGTGTGATGGTGTTTCATTGTGAGAATATATAGGAGATTTAGGTGGAGTTTGAAGTCCAGTTCTGTTAGAAACCCCCAAGTGTTCCAAGGTGAGTATTTGTAAATGGTGAGAAGTCCTGTTTATGTAGGTGGCTTTACAGTTACCACATGTATATTTCTATATGAGTTTGATGTCCAGTTCTGTTAAAAAAACCCATGTGTTCCAAGATGAGTATTTGTAAATGGTGAGAAGTCCTGTCTATGTAGGTGGCTTTATAGTTACCACATGTATATTTATATATGAGTTTGACATCCAGTTCTGTTAGAAACCCCATGTGTTCCAAAGTGAGTATTTGTAAATGGTGAGAAGTCCTGTCTATGTAGGTGGCTTTACAGTTACCACACGTATATTTATATATGAGTTTGACGTCCAGTTCTGTTAGAAACCCCCATGTGTTCCAAGGTGAGTATTTGTAAATGGTGAGA